ATAGAATGTAAGCTTCTGAAAGGCAGGGACTATTTCAGTCAACCAATAAGGATGTATTAAATATTTACTATGTGCCAGGCACTGTGCTAAGTGTTGGGGATAGCGAAAAAGATAGTGCCTGCCTTCAAGGAACTTACACTCAAAAGAGGGAAGACAACATATATAAAAGGCAATAGAAAAGCAGGATGTACCAATAGAGGAGAATGGAGGAGAAGTCTGGAGAGTTAGGATTGAGCATGGCTAGGAGAGAAGTGAAGGAATGAATAGGGCTGGCATGGGCCAGCTCAAAATGGAACCTCAAAATGGAGGTTCCAAGAAGAGCTCACCAATCAGAGTACAGGGTCACTGAGAATGAAGCACCATAGAAGGTGAAAAGGCTACGTTAATCAGAGTTCTTTTTATCTTTGTGCCTAGGATAGTTAAATGCTTGCTGATTGCTTGCTTGCAGTGCCTAGTGCAAGGCACTAGGCAAAGTGATAGGGCTACAAAGACGAAATAAACAACTTAGAAACTACAATTATCTTTAGAAACCCAAGGGACATCTCAGTGAATACATGAGAAGAGGAGACAAATCATGCCCCAGCCTCTCAAGATCAGCAGGTTGGAATTTGTCAGAACCAAATATTTCTCTCCTGGAACATCTCTGTGGTGTAAATTAGGGTGGGCATAATTAATAAGGTCAGGCTGATAAGCCTGGGGATATTTTGGGGAGGAGGCTTATTGCTAAGCAGAGCTATGCTTATAAGAGGGCAGAAGGGTAAACAAAGGTTTGAGATATGTAAAACCTATTCCTTTCAAAGCAAATCACACATTCATGCCTTTACTCACGTCTCCAACTGGGTTGTTCAAAGAGGCTCGACGACATTACAGGGTGATGTCTTGACTGGTGTGTGAATTGAATTTAAGTGATCCAGAGTCACACAAAGTCATCAGTCTCACTCTCTCTTCCTTGTGTCATTGAAGTTCAATGGCAAGAAAAAAGTTAAGACATAATGTGTGGAGAAAGAAAGGGGAAGGATTGCATGTATGTATGTTTTAGGAAGATGACAGTCAAGGAGTGTGAATCTCTTCCCTAAATAGTCTCATCCCTTCTCTCCAACCCAGGAGCACAGGTTTTTCTGGCTAGCACGTGGTGGGGTGTGTCATTCTCTGTCAAAGATAACACTATTCCCCAACACCACAGCCTTTGAGCCTAAGGATTTCTGTTTTCAGGCAAGGAACCACTCCAAAGGATAATATTTTTTTTATAAATGGTACTAGCACAAGGATGGACCCAGGTTTCAGCTGACCAAGATTTTCAAATGAGCTTCAGATGTTCCATTCTTCCCATCCTGGGGCAAATTGACTTACCTGCTAAAGGTCTGGTGTGGATAGATTGTAGGGCTGAGTCTACTACTGCTAGTCAGGCTGTACTATTTTTTTTTTTGGTGTTAGGAAAAGAATTGTAAACAGAGTAGGCATCCATTATTTGCAGATCTTCAAAAGAACATAAGATCCTTTGACAGCAGGAACTATTACAGTTTTGTCGCACAGTACCTGGCACAAAGTCAACACTTTAAAAATGTGAATTCGAAGTGAATTGGACTGAATTGGAGAACAGTTAAGCCAAATGTGGTACATGATCGGATTTAGGGTTAAATTCTAATGATCATTCTTAGGCCTGAGAGCCGAAGACAACACCTCCCTATCCTCATAGAAGAGGCAGCGGACTTTGGATGTGGAATGTGGTAGATGCTGGTAGATCCTGCTGCTTTCTTTTGCCTCTTTTTGTAGCCCCAGCACTTAGCATAGTTCCCGGCATGTAATAGGCACACTCAATAAAGGTTTACCGATTGGTTAATTGATTTTTTTTTTGTTTAAATGTCTTGCTTTATCACATGGTGGGGGAGATGACTGTGGTATAAAAACTAATGACAAAAATAAAACTTTTTTTTTTAGCAGAGTGCACAATTAGAGTAAAGGAAGATAATTGGGAATTCAAAGTCCCCCCAACTCCTTTTACCGATAAAAACCTCATTGAAAAGACCTGCTCAAATATTTTTTTCTAGAAGCCCTGCTCCCACAGAGGAGCTATTAATCCTTAGAGCAGAAACAGTGGCTCTGGTCCTTGGAAAGGTCACTGATTGTTATCTGGGTATGCATGTAAGTACATTTACATTTCTGCATCTTCCCTTAGTTTCAGGACACATAAGCTGGTAAGTGAGAAAAGGCTGGGTTTGCTTTGAGTCTTACAGACAAGCAGGGAAGGGCATGGAGAACATGCATTGTTCCCCAAATCGGAGAAGCTGGGGCACTCCAGGAAAGGGTGTGGGGTTAAGGGTCAACGTGGAGGAAGCCCTGGTAGTTTGAGAGAGACGAATTTAAGACAGAAGACAGTCCTACTTCACCCAGGAGATAGTAAATTTATAGAACTCGTATCTTATGATGCATTGGTAGGCTAAAAAGTAACAGTAACAAAAATGGTTTTGAAAAATGAATAGCAGATTCATAATGGGTTAATAGGTAAGTTAGATATCATTAATCTTATGGACAGCCTAGAACAGTGAAGAGATGCAGGAGAAGCCAGGAAGACTTGGGTTCTGGTCCTATCTCTGGCACATATGGACTGTATCACCTTGGGCAAGTCCCTTAACCTCTTAATGCTGTAGGCAGCTAGTTCTTTGGCTATCAGCTGCAGAGAAGGTGCTGACCTACATTGGTGAGAGAATTTCTTTACTTCTGACCCCTTCTTTTCTCTGACAATTACCACCAATCCTGGAGCAGAGCCAAGTCACCTCCTGCTTAGCCAACTGCAATAGCATTCTGGTTGGTTTCCATGCTAATTCATCCTCTCCTCAGCTGACAAAATATTTTTTTCCCCTTAAACACAAGTCTTCCTTAAACCCAAGTCACTCCCTTACTGAGTAAATTCCAGTGGTTCCCTATTACCTTGGTTTGGCTTTTAAAGCCTTTTACAACTCACTGTCTTCCTACTTCTCCAGTCTTCTTACACTTTGCTCTCTTCACATACTCTCCAAAGCAGTGGCTTCCTCTGCTGTTCCTTGACTGTGCATTTTCACTGACTGTCCTGGAATTCTCTCTTTCCTCAACTGCACCTCCTGGCTTCCCTTCAAATCTCAGCTGAAGTCCCACCTTCTGCAAAAAGACACTTTTCTTGGTTCCCCTCAATGCTTGCGTCTTCCCTCTGAGATCCTCTCTGATTTACACTGTTATCTTGTACATAGAATTGTTTGCATACTTTCTACCCTATTAAAATGTGAGTTCCTTGAGACTTTTTTTTTTGCCTTTCCTTTTATCCTCAGGGCTTAGCAAAGTGCCCAGTATATAGGGACTGCTTAGTAAAGCCTTGGTGAATTTCAGGATTCCTGTACCAATGAAATCATAGGTCAGGCCCCTATCCCTATGCCTTATCCTGACCTTAGAATTTGATAAGGAGAAACCATATATAGAATCCTAGTTTCTCAAATACATAGGAGCCCTTATAAATCATCTGGTATAATCCTTTCATTTTCCATATGAGGAAACTAAGGCCCAGAGAAGTTATTTGCTCAAGGTTACATAGAGAAATAGTTGCAGATTTCTCAAATAGTTGAGAAGGGGGTGGAAGGAGCAAGAGAATTTGGAACTCAAATTAAAAATAAAATTTAAAATTATTATAAATATATAAAGATATTATAATAAATAAATAATATAGTAATATTATATATATAAAATTAGTGGCAAAGCTGGCTTATAACCCAAGTCTTTTAACTCCTTGTCTTCTTTTCCCTATATTACCCTACTCTCCCAAGGGCCCAAGGGAGAGTACTTACAGGACAAACAAAATCCTAGTCTAGATGATGGCTCTTGTGGCTGAACCAGAGCAGCATTTTTGCTGTTTTTATTTTGTGTGTGAAGAACCCATTCTGCTGCTTACTTAATAAATTTTCTGTCTCAGCTTATCCTCCTGTAAGAAAAAAAGTACCCCATATAGGGATGGTTTGTGATTAAATAAAAGAATTAATGTGAGGGGCTGGAGTTGGAATACTTCTTGGAGGAGGTTTGTTCTAGATGGCCTCTCAGTCCCTTCCAGTTCTAGTTCTAGGATTCCAAGAAGATGTAAAAAGCACAGCACCATCCTGTTATTTTTCAAGTCAAGGATATGCCTTTCAGTCAACACTATACCTACAATCTACAACCTTGGCTTAATCCACTGCATATACAAACACATACAATTCCAGGAACCAGAACAGAATATTGAGGCAACTCTACCTCTCCCAAGCAGACTCGGGACACACACATAATCTGGTGTGTGTGTGTGTGTGTAGTGGTGTATGTTCTTCTAAGCATCTCCAGAAGTATATACTCCAGACCTATTCATAGCTGTCTCCTGTATCCTGCCCTCTGGTTTTTATTATTGACTACTTAATGCAAGAACTTTTAATTTCCAAGGATAGTTGGGCAAAGGGATTGGTGAAAATTTCAACAGGATGGAAATCCCTCCCCCTGCCATCGCCCTTGTGGACATCTGATTTGGCTGGGTTAAGTAGAGGTGAGACATTGGGATGGGCAGAATTCTCTTTTCATTCCCATTCCCCTCTTCTGTTTTTCCCATGACTGAGCTCTCTTTTGGTTAGCTTTACAAGACTTCAATAAGGCCAAATCGTCAGGCAAGTGGTCACTCGCTATTCACAGCTAGGGAAACTGAGGCACGGAATAGGACAAGGGTTGAGCCAGGTAACCAGGGTAGAAGTGGTATTACAACGCAGTTGTGACTTCCTTTCTTCTCGGCCCGGTCTCCTTCAGAGCCCCACACGCCCTTCCTGCACTTGACTGCCCGCTGGTGCCTGAGCTTTCCTGGGGAAAGATTCTCTCCGGGAAGGCTTGATATTCCCTTGGTCCCGCACCTCCTCCCTTCGCACTCCGTCAGGATTTAAGTGTCCCCCGTCCCCAGCAGTCCCTGGAAGCTCCCAGGATGCCAGAATCTAGATGGGTATCCTTTAGCTTGAGTGCCACCTTACCTGTGCGGCTGTGGCGGGGGCGGCTCTGGAGAAGATGCGCCTGGGCGGGGGTCAGAAGGCAGGCGGCAGGCTGGGTTAGCTCGGCTTCCTACCTTAGTCGGCTCCGCCGCTGTCCTGGGAAGGACCGAGGGAGGTAGACGAGAGGCAGGGGCGGGGAGCGCGGGGGCGGGGGAGATGGAGGAGGGCGTGGGCTCGGGTGCGCCCGGCTGTGGTCACGCGAGGGAATCCCGGGAGGGAGCGAGCTGGTTGTCTGGCTAGCGCACAGCACCGCAAAGTCCGTAGAGTTTCCGCGGCTCACTAGCTGGGTGCCGTGTTCTGGCTTGTATTGGGAGCTCCCTGTATATGACCGTGAGATCCCAGAAAGTTGCCTAAGGGAGCTCTGGTCCGGGCTGGCGGGACGTTCCTCCCTCCCCAGCTCAGCCCACTCCACCCTGGCCCTTCCCGGGCTCGGCCCGCCTGCAGCTGGGGCTTTGGCTCTACTCCCCTAACCCGAGAACGACCCACCCTGTTGCCACTGAAGCCCAGGATCCGACTTCCTAGAAGGCATGGGACTTAGAGCTCGGCGCTTGGGGTGCAGGCGAGTCAGGTCGAGTTAGAAAGGCCAGAGGCTGTTATATATCTAACTTTCCTCCAAAAGTATTCGGGCTCCTAACTTTCTGGTGGTCATATCTCAGCCAAAGGAGATGGGGGAGGGGGTGCTGGGCAGCACTCCATGGCTCACACTAGGGTTCCAGCTTGGGGTGGGGTGAGGAGTGGCCCAGGATTGGGCATTTTGTATATCTTTGTTTTGGCCCATTCCCTAGAACTTGCTAAGTACTGTGTCCTCTACATTATTTTTGGGCCCTCTGGACTTGGCAGTTGTCCTCACCTACTTTCCCTCTGTCCCATGCCCGGCCGACTTGTCCCTTTGCAGGGTGTGTCAATTTCGTGAAGGAGCACTTTGGCCGCCGAGGTTGTTTCCAAGTCAAGGTTTGGAGGTCTTGTTTTAGCAGCTTGTGTATGTGGGAAGAGAAGTGGGGGTGGAACTGACAAAAATGAGACAGAGAAAGCAAGACCAGTCCATTTCTGGTTGGCTTCATCAAGGAGAATTTATCTTTTCATCTAGAAAGAGTGGAAACAAACATCGTTAAGAATTGGAAGGCAGCTGTGAATGTAGCAGAACGAACATAGTAGCGCTATAGGAGACCTGGGTTTCTCAGTTCATTAACCATTTGGGGGGCAACTACTACATACAAGGCATATGCTAGGTCCTGGGCACCAAAGACAAACTCAAAGCCAGTTCTTGTCCTCAAAGAAGTTTACATTTCACTGAGGGGATACAATATACACACAAATAAATACACCGCAGGGAAATTTGAAGCCAGACAAAGCATCAACAATTGGGGTGATTAGCAAAGGCCATAGACTGTGCTGAGGTATTCTAATAAGCAGAGGTGAAGAGGGAGGGCATTCCAGCTATGGGAGGAAAGCTGGGTAAAGTCAGGGAAGCAGGAGATTGGATGTCATATACTGGGAATAGTTAGTGGATCAGTTTGATGAGAATGGAGAGTGTTATGAAGAAGAATGATATCAAGGAAGACTAGTAAGGCTGCAGCAACATTGTGAAGGTCTTTGAATGCCAGGCTGAGGATTTTGTATTTTATCCTAGAAACAATAGAGAGCCACTGATGATTTCTTTTTAGTAGAGGAGTGACATGGCTCTATGTTCTAGAAATAATAATTTGGTAATTGTATAGAATATGAATTGGAGAGAGGGAAAGAGCGGAAACAAGATCTGTTAGGAGGCAAAAGTTTAGACCAGAAGAGATGAGGCCTTCAACCAGGGCAAACGTGTTGGTGGAGGGAAGGGGTTAGATGCCAGAAATGAAGATAGATGCCATCAGCATAGTGTTATTGGCAGATAGGAACTTCTGAAGAACATGATCATCTGTAGGTCACATTCCCTCTTCTTTTTGTCTTCTGTGACAGTGACAAATAGCTTTGGCACCATCCCTTTCTGTTTTATACTTCAATTGATGTGACTACTGATGTTTCCATCAAGTTGGAGAAGACACCCTTTAAGACTGCATTTTGCCTTACCAAGTCAATTTGTGTGTGTGTGTGTGTGTGTGTGTGTGTGTGTCTGGTGAGGAAGCACCGTGGTGTCTTATATTCTCTGTGCTTTTCAGTCAATCAGTATAGGGAACTCTTGTAAAAAATCCTTCCAACCCTACACATCATTATTTGACAGAGTTGCCTGACTCACTGAGAAGTTAAATGACTATAGACATAATCATGGGGCTAGTACAGATCACAGGCAGTTTGCTGATTTCAAAACTGGCCCTTTAATCCACCCTGCTTCTCCCAGTCATACTCTCTCCAGCACCTATTTTTGGTCTTGTGAAAGACTGTCTGTTCTTTTTTCATTTTTTCTTCCTCAATGTTACCCTCAATGTATGTGTAAATTGTTCTCTTAAAAAATTTGTAAAGGGGAAGGGAGAAAGTGTTTATATGATGCCTACTGTGTGCCAGGTACTGGGCTAATTGCTTTTATAAATATCTCACTTGATCCTCACAATAACCCTTTGAGATGGGTGGTATTCTTATTCCCGTTTTACTGTTGAGAAAACTCACACTAGCTAGCAAGTGTTTTAGGCCAAATTTGAACTCAGGACTAGTAAGCCTAGGCCCAGCACTCTATCTATTGTGCCACTAGCTATTTCTAAAATAAATTAGGCAATCCTATTAATTGCTTTGGGGGTGGTGGTATAATGATGTCTGGATTTTTAAAAAAAATCATTTGGTACTTTCCCCTCTTTTAACAATCTGAAAATGGACTAATAGCTGCTCTGGTCTGACCTCATCTGTAATACTTTGTTCAGTTTTGAGAGTCACACTTAAAGAGACTGAAGCATGACTGGGATGGTGAAGAAATCTGACAACCATGTGTTATGGAGAAGAGACATAGAAACTAGGGACATTTAACCTGGAGAAGACCTATTAGCGTTCTTCAAATATTTAAAGGCTATTGTATGGAAGAGAGATTAGAATTTTGTCCTTCCAAAGGGCAGTACTAGGATCAGTGTAGCTACAAGGAGTTAGATTTCAACACAGGATATCTATATATGTGTACACACACAAATATACACATATACACATGATAATACACCTATGTGTACATGCATATGAATGTGCATTTATACGGATACAGATGTGCTTATGTATGTATATATGCATACATACATGTACATGTGTATAAATATAGGCATGTGTACATACACACATGCATATACCCATATGTATATGTGCATATGTGTATACCTATCCACATACACGTGTATGCGTACATAGGTACATATACATGTGTATATACATACCTGTGTTTTTATATATATATATATGTATATATATATATATATATATATATGTATATATATATACCTGCTAACATTTAGAGCTGTTCAAGAATGTTGCTGCCTTGTAAAGTAGCTCCCTGGCAATGAAAGTAATTAAACATTTGGGGAGGGTGGATTCTATATTCCTCTTCTAATTGAGTGATTGGACTAGGTGCCACCTTGATGTCATCCTTGGTGCCTCTTTTCTCTCCACTCCAGTTCATCTTCCACACAGTTCCCAAAGAGATTTTCCTAAAAAGTAAGTCTGCTCATGATACCCAGCTACCCGGTAAACTCCAGTGGCTCCCTATTACCCCTAGGATCAAATATTAAGTACTTTGTTTGGAACTGAATCCTTCACAATCTGACCCCATTCTACCATTATCAATCTTCCTATATTCTATTCTCTCCACACACTCTGCAATACACTGGCTGTTCCTCATAACACGTTGTTCTCCATGCCTTTGCAGTATCTGTCTACTTCTGAAATGTTCTCCCTCCTTACCTCTTCCTGTTAGAATCCCTGACTTCCTTCAAGAGTCAACTCAAATGTCACCTTCTACAAGGGCTTCCCAACTACCAGAGTCTTCCTTTTAAGGTTATCTTCCTCCTTCTTTGTAGATACTAAAGGTACTCTGTGTCTTTTGTAGGTACCTCTCTTTATGTTATCTCCCCTGTAAGAATGTAAGTGTCTTGAGGTCAGGGATTGATTTTGGCTTTCTTTGGATCCCCAGCACTTAGTACTGTACCTGTCACATCATGCTTAATTAATGTTTATTGAGTGATCGATTGATTAATACCCTACATCATGCTGTATGTTGCTAAGTCCATAACGTGACTCCTGTTCTCACATTTTCAGTAGGTGGTGTGCTCAGTCATTAATAGAACTGGGACTATCCCTCCCCTGGGAGTGAGCCTTCCAAAGATGTCAGACTAGATGGAAAACTAGTTGGGATTTCCTAATTTTGGGTGGAGGCTGTTCATCCTTCTTGTCTACGTAAAAGAGGCCACTTGTGTTGGGAGTTTTAAACCAAGGGAATGGGACAATGGAATTAAGGTGGGGTATTGGCAAATGGAGAGAAAAGGAAGATTGAATTTCCTTCCTCTAGAAGAAAAAAGTCTCCAGGAAGACAAAATGTCTCACATGATCATGTTGGTCACAGTTCCACGTCTACTCCTTCCCTGCCACCCCTGCCTCACCAACCACTCACAGACACCCAATAAGTAGATCCTTGTAATAGCTACAGCCAGAACTGCTGGCCAGGAGCCCTCAGCCTGAGGGGTCTCCTTTTGGTTATAAAGTTTGTCGTCTGGCCTTCCAACCAAATTCCTGGCCTTCTGCCCTGCATTGAAGTCTTCCCTGAGATTAGTGTAAGCAGCCTCTGGCCTTATAGCCTTCTGCTGGGACCACTGCCAGCTCCAAACTGAGGTCAAATTTTCATATTCTGGGTTTTTATAAAAGCCTCTGTGAATCTCCAATTGCTTTACCAAACATTTCTCTTTATGGTTCTTCCCGGTTCATTCCTCCCCTTCAACTGGTCTTTACTTTCTATTTCCCTGAAAATCTGTCCTGATTTATTGTAAGCTCCTATCAAACACTGGTCAAGTTTAACTTTCATTCTCAGAGAGATGACTATATGGGTCCAGAGCATACATAATAAACTACTGTAGCTCTTAGTGCAAAGGACAAGAACTCACCCATACCTTTCCACTTCTCTCAAAGAGTACTGACTCTGGAGTCAGAGATCTTGGGCTCAAATTCTGCCTCAGAAGTTTACTGTATGACCTTGGGCAAATCACTTACCCTCCTCATCTGTAAAATGTGGGAGATAGACTATGTGGTCCATGATGTCCCTTCCAGGTCTGGCTCTGTTATTCTGCCTCCACTGTCCCTGGGTGCCTAACCTCAATAGTTAGGTGGTACGGTGGATAGAGTGTTGGACTTGGGGCCCGGAAGACC